CCTCTGTTGAGAGCATGAAACATGCTAGATTTCAAGAAGATCAGTATATTGGTTTGGGGGGAACTGTACCCCAAATTCTTGAAAGCCAAACTCATGTCACGGCTGTGTGTCACACCACAGGGGGGTTAAAACCGCAGGGCTGGTAGCTCTTACTGAGGCCACAAAGCCTGCCAAGCTCCAAGGACGTCGGTGCAGGGGTTTGGGGGGGACTGCACCTCAAGCTGCGGACAAGCAAGTCTCATGCCATGGGTGACCCTGAGTGTGTTAAGGCGCAGCGGGGTGACACCTGCAGTGATGGTGCCCCCTGCTGTGGCGCCTGCCAGCTGTGGAGATCGATGCCGGGGGGTCCTGGGGCCCTGCACCCCTAGCTGCTGATGGACAAATCTCCTGCCAAGACTGTGTCTGTCCTGGGGCAGTTGATTGTCTGTACTAAGTCTTTCCTCTCCTTAGCCTGGTTTTGTAGGTGCTAACCAATGCCCATTAAGTCCTTATGTAGTAGCAGGTCCTGTGTATTGAGCTGGTCCTAGAGTCCCTGGTCCCTGAGTGAATCATGACTGATTCATTTATTGGTAAGTGGTAACAGCAGCTCAGCAGCCAGGCCTGCAGCAGTCTCCCGTCCCCGCCCCAAGACAGACACAGTCAGTCCCACAAGCACCCATGGCACCAGTTTTGTTTGTCTGTAGCTTGAGAGGCAGTTTCCCCCAAACCCCTGCACCGATCTTCTTGAAACCTGGCAGGCTTTGTGGCCTCAGTAAGAGCTACCAGCCCTGCAGTTTTCACCCTGCTATGTTGTAACACCTAGACCTGACATGAGTTTTACTTTCAAGAATTTGGGGTGCCATTCCCCTCAAACCCCTATACCGAACTTCTTGAAACTTGGCAGACTTCATCATCTCTGCAGAGTGTACCACCTCTGAAAATGTCATCCAATTTGGACAAAAAACAACAAAGTTATAGATACTTTATTATTTCCCCAATACACCCTATGGCCGGATCTCCGAGGCAGCTCCAAACCGCTTGGGGAAGCCGAACGAGGCAGCGTTTCGACCCGGATGTGCTGCTGCGGACCCCAAAGCGGATCTGAAGCTCTGTCCGAAGCCTTGCACAGCCATAATTGATATATTTACAATTTTTAAGTAATTTGGAAGCCTACCAGTGCCTCAATCATTGTAATAAAATATATTCTAAATACCTCTATATTTTGGTGTTTGATTTTGGTTTATTATGGAAAATCAGATCTCCCCCTGCCCCCTTCACTCACCAGGATGTGGTTCCAGCTGCAGCTAAAATCAAGGTACATCACATCCACCAGTTTCCCCACATCCACAGAGCCAGTCACATCATCATAGAAGTCAATCAGGGTGGTCAGGCATGACTTGCCTCTGATGAATCCATGTTGACAGTTCCTAATCACCTTTTTCTCCTCCAAGTGTTTAGAAATGGATTCCTTGAGGACTTGCTCCAGGATTTTTCCAGAGACTGATTGGTCTGTAGTTCTCTGGATTCTCCTTCTTCCCTTTCTTATACATGGCCATTCTGTTTGCCTTTTTCCAATCATCCAGAACCTCTCCTAATTGCCATGAGTTTTCCAAGTTGGTGGCCAATGGCTCTGTGATCACATCGGCCAACTCCCTGAGCACCCTCAGGTACATCCCATCCAGCTCCTGCAGGTGGAGGTGAAGATCTCTACTTGCTGCCAGAAGTCACAAGCCTCCAGCTTCCACCCTCTTGGGTGTCCATGTCCTCTCTCTTCTCTAGCACTGCATTTGGCATTTCTTCATCCACAGTGCCAGAGGTCTCCTCCAGCATTGAATCAATGAATGCCTCATGGCAGACCCTGCTTTGGAGCCTCACCACCTCCTCCTGTAACTCTCTTGCCTGTTTCCTGAGAGACACCACCAGGAGGCACTGCTCACACTGCAGGCGCCCTCTGACCTGGCCATCACTGGAAGGAACCTGCAAGCCACAGTCCCCACAGTGCCAAACCTGGCTTTGGGTGGAAGTGTCAATGGTGAGCAGTCCTGCCTGGATAGAAAACTCACAGATGTAAGCAGATGCAGTGGCTCTGACATTGCAACTTCCTCCTTTCCCTGAGTCTCTTAATTTGCCTTCTCTCTCCTACTGCTCTTCTTCCAAGCACACCTTCCATAACAAACTTATCTGGAACTGGCCTGTTTATTTCTCAGTGGCCCCGAAAGGTTCCTTTTTTTTCTGCTTCCTCATACCAAGCTGGAAGACTTGCCCCTCAAAAAAGGGGGAAGGGCCCACAAACTGGTCTCAGAACTGACCTGTGAACTGCCTGCAAACTGCTTAATGATGTTCTGGTGTGCAATGTGGGGGGCCACCTGGGTGACGATGTCTGTGAAAGTGTCCTGTCACATGTGGAAGGTGTGGAACCACAGTTTGTCATTGCAGGTGCCAAGGACAATGTGCTACCACCAGTTGGTGCTGGTAGAGTGTGCCCAGACCCTGTGCTCAACAATATGGAGGTGGTCCCAGATTACCCTGATGTTCATGGCATCCAGGATGCCCTCGTCATCGTTATCCAGGAGGAAGTCATGGATGCTTGGTGGGCAGGGGTGCAGAGGCAGCACAGATGGTTTGGTGCATGAGGGTGCATTCAGGGCCTCCCAGTGCTGCATCAGGTTCAGCAGGCTATGCATGATGTACCATATCCTACCATGAGAGTTATGCAGAGTGATCAGCAGGGAAGCAGGAAGCCATAGTGTGGTATGGGATAGCTGGGACACACAGTGAGAGGACAGCAGGGGCTGATTGCTGGAAGTAGCTTGGTACTCACTAAGTCATGGGTCCCAGCATGCAACTGTTCCTCTAACAGTGGCTGTGTGAGGGCACTACTTTGTCTGGAGCAGGGGCTCAGATAGTCAGGACATCACCAGAAATTACTCCTTGATCATGAAAACAATCCCTTGATCGTGAATAATCGTGTCCCTGATGAATGCCCATTGTCTTCCATCGGCCACACCTGGGCACACCCTGCTTGCTGATGGTGATCTGGGGGGGCCAGCAATCAGCCAGTTCAGGGGGGGCTGGCTGGCCCCCCACCCTGAGAAGCAGTGTGCTCAGTGCCTGCTGGCACCGGCCCTGGGGGTGGAGAAGCCCCCAGGTCCCCCACCCGCCGGCAAGGAGGCAACTAGCCGCACTGGGGACTCGGCCTGCCAGCCAGCTGCCTCTGCACAGGCAGGGAACTATTAAACAGTAATTGGGGTTGGGGGGGGCCTGGCTAGGTCCCCAGGGAGAGGGTCCTCGTTGCTCCCCACACGCAAGGACAGCCGCCCAGGTCAGACAGCTGGCCAGCCAGTGGACTGCTGGCTGGGGCTGTGTGCAGGGGCGAGGAAGCGAGCCAGGCATCGGGGTGTGGGGGCTGGCCACAGTTGTGCGATCCCAGTCAGCCGAGGAACTGCAGGTGTCAGGGAAACTGGTTCTAGGTGGCTGAATCTGCCCGCAGTTTCCAGGAAAGGAAAGAAGCACGGACAGGGGAGGAGGCAGCGAGGCGGGAGGTGAAGCAAGGAAAGTCAGGTGGCTCTAACAGTTTTATTGTTAAGGCTGGAATGAGGAAGCTGGGGAGAATGGAAAAATACTCAGATGCAAACACACCTCAGCCTAGAGCTCCCTAGTCACTAATGGCTTCATAGGGATTCACTCCTCCCTGAACCCTGCCTCAAGTCCGTCCCTCCCAGCCTTCAGCCCGCTGCTATTCCAGTTCTGACCTGTACACACGGCTTTTCCGAGTCCAGCCCTGGAAGCTTCACATGGGTGGGCCATAAACCAGACTCTTTGCAATGTTGAGTCTGTGGCTGAGATCTGATTTCTCCTGCTCTAGCAATAATTAAGGAGAACTGTAGAGAAACTGAGAGCTAGGTGTGGTCTGTGGTGTGTTAGCAGAGTTTAGTGCAGGGCTGAAGATGGCATAAGTGAATCAATTGTGTGTGGGCAGGAGATACTCAGGAAAATGATGGGGTAAGAGCTATAAAGCGTCTCAGTGTTTTTTATTATGAAAGGGGGAGGGAGAGATGGTTCTCTCTTTTTTTGTTTCCCCACCAGCCTCCTTTAGACCCTGTCAACATTTTTCCAGGAACAACTCTGTCTGCATGGGCCAAAGAAGCGATCTCCCTGTACATAAAAGCCTCCATGGAGCAGCAGGAGATGTGCAGGTATGTATAAGCAAGCACCGCCTTCTGTCTGGAGCATAAGCCATGCTGTCTGAGAGGCCACACTGGCACCAGGGAAGGAGTTTCTGTTCAGCCCGGGCAGACTGCTCAGGAAACTAATCCCTGATGGAATTTTCATAATAATACTTAACACAGGTGACTCCGCTCTCCCCAGAGCAGTTTATGAATCTCAGCTGTCTAATCCACCCAGGAAATGTCATTCCGGTCCCCATTACACATCTGAGAAATCTAAAGCAAATGCAGATGTGAACACAGAGGCAGAACAACTCAGGAGAGTACAGTGCATCCCAAAGAGGAAAGGTGGTAGTTATGATGAGACACAGTCAGGAGCTTTTTTTGAAGCTGGGTAAAGAGCAAGCTCACAGCATTTATGGAAGAGATGATCCGAAGGCTAGAGATGCAGCTGGAGCTCCCGGTGGAATTCAGACAAAGTGAAAGTGAAAACAAAGTGAAAGAGAAAAGAAGCTCCATGAACAACTCAAGATTCAGGTGGGAGGACCTGAACGGCAAATCACTAGACAAGGAGGGCAACCTATGTATGAATGTCACCAAGAGAACAAGGCAGGCGAAGAGCCAGGCTACTTGAGGAGAAATAGGGCTGGCTGAAGAATTGGGTTTGTTGCCCCCGGTTAGCAGGCAGTAGATATGATGGCAAGAGACAAAATTAGGGAAGCCAGTCCCAGCAAATAGAGGGTAGAAAAGGTCAGAAAGCAGAAGGAAGAAGGAATGCTTTGAAATGTGGGGACTGCAAGAGACAACAACAGGTACAAATCTCACACCCTGTCCTTTCTGTTCTTTCTGTACGAGGAGGAGTCTGCTGTTGGGAACTGTTGAGACTCCTGTCACCAGAACTGATCCTGAGAAAAGAAGGTAGTGCTGTCTGCCAGGAATAAATATTGAGCCGTGGGCCTAATGCTGGGAAGAAGCAGAGCAGGGAAGAATCCACTGACTGCCCTTCAGGTCAGGACAAATAGCTCTCCCACATGTATTCTAGAACAGGCCTAGGGGTCTTGTCAGAGGGACAAAGAAGCGGGCGCTTAGGCTTCTTTGGACAGTCCCTAGAAAAGGAGACCTAACGTGCAGGACCAGAGTGAAGATCAGACGGTCACTTGAAGGTGGGTGCTGTGAATGGCAAGCTGCAGAGAAGCCTTTGTGGGAAGAAGGGCACTGGCTTTGTGGAGGTACGGGGGTCCAAGCAGCCTGGGATGTAGACTGGCTGGAGTGCTAGGAAGAGCCTTAGCGGTGGTGGAGGCGGGGGCAGGATTGAGTTGTGCGAGGTGCTTTGTTTGAATATGAGGGGGAAGGGAAAGGTGGCAGCTGAGGGGGAGCAGAGGAGACGGGGCACTGGGCGGCCAGGAGAGAGCGAGCACTGTAAGGCCCGCCTAAGGAAGCGGGAGGGAGCCTGGAGCAGTGGCGGCGGGTGCAGGTGCGCCGTTGCCTGGGGCTGCCCCGCGGCCGCGAAGACTGGCGGCCGGGGCCCCGGGGCCGGCTCTGCTGGCGGCGCC